ATAGGATGCAGGTTCGAATCCTGTCAAAGAACGAATATTTTCTATGAAAATTTCTCGGACATTCAGGCCGGTAAATGTTATTTAATACTGTTTATCATAAACAGAGCATTTGCTTAAATACTTGTATCTATAAATAACAACGTTAAACATAAAAAATGTCTTTAATAAATAAATTGTCGGACCTTGTCCATTTCTTAATATATATATATATATTTCGCCGAATGGTAAGACACACTTAGCTTAAAGTTGGTTTTCCTTGATTGAAAAAGGGAACACTTGTTCTATTTTTGTCGAATGGCACGCTTTCTTTCGTTGGAATTTCGATCAATAACAATAAATTTAACAGTAAAAAAAGCGGCTGAGATATGTACACAAATATGTGTATTTACTAAATATACCGTTTGTAGTGATTGCGCGTGTGTGATTTGGGGCGTGTGCATATGTTCCCAGCACCCTATGTTTTTGGAAAAGTAGAAAGTGAATAAGGCCCGGTGGAATAATGGATAGCGGCTCGGATTGAGGAATCGGAGAGCCGAGCTCGAATTCCAGTCGATTCAATTACGTCCACTAACGTGCTAATACCATTGGAAAAAGTATGAATCCTCTTCTTCTCCTCCCAGCTATGGGTAAATCATAGGACAGACCTGCTTTGAATGGCAACTGGTCTACCACAGAAAGAAATGTCAAACTACTGCGGGAAAAAATCTGCCTCGTCAGTCATGTATTGAAAGATACATGATCGTCTAAGCGTGTATCACGCATGGCACATAACTGACTGAGAAAGTGATACACATATGTAAACATGTTTTGGTCGGACACTTTTGCATACGTCTAATATTTATATATGTATATATACAAATGAAGGCTTATAACGTTTCAAACTTTCTCGAAAATCCAATACAAATTCATAATATATGATGAGGGCGTGTATTTGAATGTATTTTGGGACATTTTGAACTCTGTCGTGCAATTTCGACATGTGGACGCCTATAACTTAAGTTTAAAACTGAACCGCTACACTACCCATACAGGTGATTTTATTATAGTGATGAAAACTTGTGAGCCACACATTTTGGAAGAACTGATAATAGGTAAATGTTTCACATTGTGTCCCGAAATTCCCGAACAGCCCTCCCCATGTTTTATTGTAGCTGTTTAAATTCTTCAAAGCCTAAGGAACATGACACTCGCTAGGAATTCTTATTCTTCGTGACACAAGCGATCAGGACGCAATTTTCTATCACGTGTGGTTACTAGCAGTTTTACTCACTTGCCCGACCCCGTTCCACCATTCATTCACAGAAACTGATCAAACTCTCTGCCCTCCCCTGTTTCTCTGGCACTCAGTATGCCTTGTGTTAAGTTTTTCAAGCTCACTTTCCTCATTATCTGTCCAAGAGATGTCAGCTGTCTTATCCTGATTATAAGTGTTCTATTCTCTTGCCAATGCCTTTAAAACTTCCTCGTTGTTCACTCGTGCCGCCCATAAAAATTTCAATATCCTTCTGTAGAACCATCTTTCTTACGCCTCTATTTTCCCCTCATCCGTGTGAAAATTGTCCAGCATTCACTGAACTGTAAGAAAATGGAGAAATGGATGTCACATAGCCATTCAGCACTCTTTTCTTTGATGGTCGAATTCATGGATTGAATTTCCCTTTCAATTTTAGACTGATATGATTGTTCTATGATTGTTTCGTATATATTTATTTACGAAACAATCATAGAACAATCATATAACCTTTCGATTTAATGTATTATCTTAGGTCATTTGAAGATTTTAAAAGTATATATATATATATATATATATATATATATATATATATCTGTGTGTGTGATTTTTTATCCGACATTTTTTCTTTATTACCATAAAGGTTATTTCTAGTGGGTACACGTGTTTGATTTATTATATACAATCGCTGTTTTTTGTTTTTTTTTAAACAATGAAATTAGTAACAATCTACCTAGATTGAGAAGTCCAGTTACAAAACGATTGTGTAACCGACAGGAATCGAACCTGTATCACCTTTTCCGCCAGGGAAACTCTTTCTACAGCCGAAACGTTCCTTTATCAATACGGCCTCCATAGCCGAATTGGTAAAGACACGTTTCGACCACAGAGCCTTAATGATCTTGACCGTTAAAATTGTCTCTGATGATAGACAAGAGGCTCTGATTCAAATCCCATCCCCAATCAGTGCAGGAGATACCAAACACATATCTACTAGGTAAGTACATCGTTCTATATGTTTCTTGTGATATGGGAACAGAAGACCCACCAGGGTGGCCCTGTTAACACCCCAACAATGTGATTCTGTGCCGGTTTGAATGCACAACAGTTTTCAACAAAGCACCGTGTAGCCTGGTGGTGGTTTTATAAAAGAAGTAGGTCCCCGCGGTATCGATAGGATCCAATGCTTCGATTTAATATGTCATTAACCTGTGACTGGTAAGTTACGCTGTTCCCTGATCGTTTGAACCTTTTCATGGACTCCCTGTAACCTAACAATTCCAGTAGGAAAATGCATCGTGACATCGATCCCAAGTTGTCAAGAATTGTTTTAACGAAATGTCTGGAGATTTCTTCCATGTCCTCCACGTCTATCCAACATCAGCCCAGTCAAGCATTTATTGGGCACGAGAGAGAGGTTTGTTCTCACACAAAATCCTGCCCTTTCAAATATCATATCTGGAATCGATGCACTTCGTTGGACTACATGATGAATTTTGGGTTTGTCAGTATGTATATATATATATATATATATATATATATATATATATATATATATATATTAAATTAATTGATTTAAAATATGTTTTTTCCGCTACACAGTTCTAACCATGTTTCAAAATGGAAGCTAAAAGCCACGAATTTAATTTTGCAATTAAATTAAAGACATTAGTTCCATTTCATCCTCAAGCGAATTTTGGAGTACCTTTTAAAATTACTGGGTTTTAAAGACACAGCTAAAATCACGTTTCCATGGAATCTACTTCAACTGGATAAGGGGTGTCTGGGTTTTCCTTATGTCTGCATCATTGTATCGGTTATTAGCTATGCTCTGTAAATTTACATCGAGCACTATTTTGTAAAAATAAAAATACCTATAAGAACACCGGATTATATATCTTACTGTTCTTTTTTTTTTATATATATATATATATATATATATATATTTGTGTATTTAGGCATCAATCCTTCTTTCATGCCAATTTCATTGAATGCGACAGACAAGTTGCTTTTCTTTATTTTTTTTTATACAATTTCTCATGTGATCTAATAATTTTTTTTCTTTTCATATGATAAAATATATAAAAACTGTTCGAGAATGTTCTTTTTTCCGAGCGCTTTCGGCTATACATTCAGCCATTTTCAAGGATAAAATATTTTAACTGTTAAATAAGAAATAGTTTGTTGCATTTATGTATTTATATAACGTTGTAATTTTTCAAAACATGGTCAAGATATTTTGTCCATGTTCATAATTAATATTATTACGTGTTTTTTTTTTGTTTTTTTTCTTTTATTAATAAGGCTTTCATTATTTTTGGCCTTTGTTTGCATGTAGATGATGCTATTATATTTGTGTTGTCAACAAGTATGTTACGAATAGGGTCCGGTAGGTCTCCATGAATATTTAAATGAGATCTAATGGTCAGAAAGGTGTAGAGTAAGTCTTCGCAACAAACATGTTGTAGTATGGCCTATATATATATATATATATAAGCAAGTTTGTTTAAATACAGCTGAAAGTTTAAAATAAACCACGATGATGTCATATGTAACGGTTAAAGTGAGCGGGACCATACCAAAAAGAATGCATTCACTTTTATTTAAACTCATATTAAATATATTAAGCACGCTTCAAGGTCTCGTCTCCTTTGGTGAAAGATATTTTATTTAAGGTGAGCTTTTTAATGACAATAATTCTAGTGTTTTTAGTCTTTTCTTACATTGGGTGCCGTATATAATTGTCTTACGTTGATACTTGTATTTTGGTGCCTTGTAGAGTGCTGGTCGATATGTGCACGAATTACCCCTCTTTCGACAGGAGACAAGGAGATAGCCAACGGAATTTCGCTTTACTAAAGTGACACCACATGGTTCTTGAAAATGACTGAGACATTCGAAAACAAAACAAAACAATAGAACAAAGAATCCAATCTCAATATGCAACACATTATTCCTAAAATGGAAAAAATACAATTAAAAGAAAAAAAAAGGTCGTTTGGTTGTGTATTTAATCAAACTTACTGCCTAAACATACTTTATATATATATACACACACGCACATATATATGTGTGTGTGTGTGTGTGTGTGTGTGTGTTAATATAACTATATGCGTAAATTGCAGAGAGACATTTACGTTGATCATGATGCGTGATGGCATCTATTATTCAATACTCTAAATGAGAAAATAATGACATTGCTGTGCTCAACACCAGCCCGCATGAAAACAGGAAATAGAACATCCTACTAATACAATGTGCTGTAAAAGGACAAGGTTTTTAACAACACTGATCCATGGGTTAAGAGAAACGAATCGATATATTGGTGGGTCAACTTGACTCATCTTCGAAGTGGCCCAACGACGCTAGAGTAGCAACGATCGTTCAAATAATCACACTTAGACATCAACAACCTACGACGCTCTTCTAGCTGAACTGGTAAAAGAATATGCTCAAGTAATACACTGGTCATAAGATAAAATTTACTCTTTAAATATCTTTGTGAAAAAGTTGGGTTGAAAATATCGAATTTCTAGTAAATCTTAATCATTGGCGCCTCATGTATAGGCACTGCGGAATCCTATTTTTACTCGATATTATTGATAACATTTAATATAATTTTCTTTGAATCTTTCTTATACTTGTACATTATATAATCCTTAAGCTTAATGTCAGTATACATCATTTCATTCATGAAATATTACAAAAATCCTTGTATGGAACTGTGTGCTTCACAGTTTTATTAATGGGGTGTTTGGCAGTTGTGCGCATGCGCACATGTCTGGGGAAAGCAGCTGAACGCTGGTTAGAGAAACCACAGTTGCTCACACATTGCCGACGCTGTTGTCCAAGTTAGTGATTATTTTTGACTCAGCGTATGTTGTACTTTAAAACATTGTACCATATTTTTGAATGTGATAAACTTTAGATGACTATCATGTTTCCAGCTATTTTATTTAATTCATTTTTTTCGGCTTTTTTATTGTATAGAAAATTTTAATAATTTAACCATGACCTTCTTGTATCTCCAAGAAATAAGTTCTGTAACAGTGAACTTCAGCAGCTTAAGTTCTCACAGTTGTCTCTCCATGAGAAAGTTACAGTTTAAAAAAAAAAAAAAAAAAAAAAAGAGTCCGTACTGTAGCTGATATTCAAATATCTGAGCCAGGAATAAGCAACAACAACAAGAGATATATTCGTAGCTTTTATTCTGAATGTTACCAACGAAAAAGTTGAGCTTTGCTGTTGTAAATTGAAAGATGCATTGTTTTGCTTTCTATGTTTGCTGTTTGGAGATGATATTACGTGGACAAAAGACGGTTTTAGAAATCTAAACAAAATTAAAGAAAAAACTGAAAACATGAGAAATCAAAGAAGCCTATCACTGTCACTTTTAGGAAACGTAAATATTAAGGAGGCATGGTGGAGTAATGAATAGAGGCTCGGATTGAGGAATCAGAGTTCGAATTCCAGTCGAATCCATTACATTCACTTACCCTTGGGAAAGGTATGAATCCTCTTCTTCTCAAACTATGGGTAAATAGCAGAACAGGCCAATGTTCTACTGCAACTGGTCTACCGCAGAAGGAAATGGCAACCTACTGCGGGAAAAAATCTGCCTTGTCAATCATGTATCGAAAGATACATGATCGCCTAAGCGTATATCACGCATGGCACATAACTGACTGAAATATTAAGGAGAAACTTGGTGAGGCATACAGACTTTCAACCAATGAACATAACATGAAGGTTAAAACGAACCGTGAAATTCTATACAAAATAATAGACTGTATTTTATTTTATGGAAATTCTGAAACTCCCTTACGTGGACATGATGAAAAAGATGATTCAGTAAATTCAGGGGTATTTGGGAGATTAATAAATCTTGAATCGAAATGACCATTCAGAATCAGATACTTGACTGCCTGATACAAATATGCCATGAGGAGATAAGGACAGAAATTAGGGAAGGTTCGTTTGTAGCCATCTTGACTGGTGATACAACAGATGTTTCGGAACACACTCAAATGGTCATTGTTCTACGGTATGTGTTGAATGAAGAAATATTTGAGCGTTTTTGGAGATCCTTTATTGCAGAAAATCAAACTGTTGATAACATATCAAAACGTATTTTAGAACAGTTAGAAATAACCCTTCAAGGAAATGGACAGAAACTGATAGCCCAGACATTTGATGTTAGGAAAGGTAAAAAAGGTTCAAGAAAAATAAAAACAATTTATAGTAGTGTGCATTTCATTCAGTTATGCACATCAAATTAATTTATTAATGAGAAATGCAGCAAGTATTACAGGGAAAGCAAGAATATTTTTCTGTAACATTTTGGCTATTCCAACATTCTTCTCCAAGATCACCACGATGTATTTCCATTCTCAAGAAGTATATGGATGTCAGCATTTAACGTCCATCCTCTACAAAATGGAACTTTAACATACGGACTGTGAACAGAATTGATGAAAATTTGCAACCTTTAAAAAGCTGCCTTACGGAAATTCAGTCAACATCAAATGCAGGTCAAACCATTCCAGAAGCAACAGGAATTTTACAATAGCTGAATGATGATAATTTCATGTTTTGGTTAGAGCTTTTTTATCAGACTAGGCCTCATGTTGAAGTAATTTACAACCAAATGCAATTTCGAGAAATTAGTGTATTTAAAGTCAGTGAATATATTGGGCTCGTCTATTAGCCCAATCTTACCTTCTTCGAGTAATGCACTATTCCAACTTTCATTCGTAAATCTAGCCCTCTGATTGGTTCATTTCTACCAATCAGGTCGCCAGCACGTGCACTTCGAAGTTTGGGCGCAAAATCGTTCCGGGGCCACCCCACGTGATCATGACCTCTTAAAAGGAACCCAAAGCACGTGTGACCACAGAGAAGCAGACGTAGAAGCCGACGGAGACGCAGACCTGGGCAGATCAGCAGCAGACCATTTTTCGATCGCTTACTCAAGCTTAAAAATGTGACGACTACAATTCACCGTCTCGCTAATCGAGACGACAAATCTTTATGTACGAACACTCACCACAACACAACATAACACAACACACGCGCATAATATTTACCAGTCAGACCTTCATTCCTAGAGAGATGCCAAACTGACCCACGCAAGGCAAAACTCTGACCAACTAGGACTTTGCCGCGCAAAATATCTGACTCAACAATCCACAAGCACACTCTATCTCTCTCAGGAACGCTATCCAAACATCACTTACGATACTTTAAAATGTGACATTTTTCTCACTACTTAATAAATATTAGTAAACAAACAAATCAAATTCTCACACAACTAAAGGTACGCAACTCCTACCAATTATACAAACAAACTTATGTACACACACTAATAACTGAACTAGCACAAAGGACAATTTAGTACGGAACTGGACACTTAGTTTAATTTTGTGAAGAAATCTGAATGGCAATTACAAACACCTTCAAACATTCACAATAATATTCTACGCAGCCAAATACATCTATTATCAAAGTTCAACTCAATTGTATTCTCAAATTGTATATTAATTGTACATAAATGCATGTTGTTTTGTTGAAATCTCATAATCGGTGTTTCTTACTTGTGATTGATTCGTTTTAAATGTCTATATTCTATATTGTTGCGGATTAATATGGTGAACATGCTCGTAAACTAATCATCTTAATATAAAAACCTTCTGATACCAAAATTCAAACTCATAGCAATCCCAACAAATATATCACAGATTTCAGAACTGCTATTTTAAAAATAAGAAATTCAAAATACTGCGCGAATCCTTCAAAGACACTCATGGCAGAAGCAGAGGAAATGCGTGACTGCATATGTGTTGATATAATGGACAGATATTCTTCCACTAAACACTTAGTAGCTGCTTAATTGTTCAACAAGAAAAGTTTTTAAAAATGAACTGACTACAGAAGATATAGTACTGACCACTGTAGCATATTCCATGATTAACAAAGAAAATCTTGAATCTGAACTAAAAGTATTCTGTTATAGATCTGATATCCATAAATATTGCAAATTGAGTTGCTGAAATCTATCTTGGGAAATAATATAGATGGCGTTCTTAGTGAAATTACGAAATTGATAAAAATTCTCTTGACAATTCCCATGACTTCATCAGATCCAGAACGTTGCTATTCAACAATGAAAAGAATAAAAACTTTTCTAAAAAGCACTATGAATCCTGAAAGACTATATGCACTTGCAGTGCGTTCAATGGAGAAAATTTTCCCCAACAGCCATCCAGGGATCAGGGACAAAATTGTTAACCTTTTCGCTCAAAATAAAACAAAAATGGATTTCATTTTTAAATGAATGGATCAAGTTTGAACTGTAAAAGTTTTTAAGTAAAAAATATTTTTTCGTTTAGGATTTTATCAAGTCTATGTATAAATATTCTTTTTATGTGTTTGTTTCGTTTTACACAATATTAAAACAGTGGCCAAAAATTTTCTGAGGCAGCACCTCCACTAATTTTTGACACGAGCCATCACTGGTATTAAAAATTACATTACACGTAACTAAAAGCAAATAACTAAATATGATTTCGTTATTAACGCCAGTCTTCAATTTGTTCTAAGGAAAAAAGCCTTACTTCGCTTATTTGATTGTTGTCCTTTGAGTGAAAATAAAGAAATCTGTGTTCCGTTTATTTTGGAGAAATGTTTCAAAGACATTGCTTGTTAATATGATGAAAGTGAACGGCTCTTTTGTCAGAAAACTGTTAAATGTTACCAACGAACTTTCTCTAGCGCTATTGCACGAGACAATTCCATGCTATTTCTCTAAACAGGTCTATTTCGTTTATCGATGTTAACAACGATCTACTTGTGGATAAACGACCAAGAACAGTAGAGTCATAAAAAGAGTAACAGAATTGATTGTAACACACATTTTAAGAATTTCTTTCTTTCTTCAATTATTGATTTTCTTTTCCGTTGTCTTTTTTAGTTTCTTTCTTCCTTTGAGTTTACTTTACATTTATCTATTCTTTCTTTCTTTCTTTCTTTCTTTCTTTCTTTCTTCGTTTATTCGATTCCTTTCCTTTTGTTTATTCTTTTTCTTTCTTTCTTTGTTTATTAATGTGTTTCCTTTGTCTATTCTTTTATTTTCTTTCTTTCTGTGTCCTTCATTTTCCTTTATCTATTCTTTCTCTTTTTTCTTTGATAGGCTTCCTTTTCCTTTGTATATACTTTTTCTTTCGTTCTATCTTTCCTTCATTCTTCTTTTATTTGTTTCCTTTTTCTTTGACCATTTTTACTTTCTTTCTTTCTTTCTTTGTTTCCTTTTACATTATCTACTCTTTTTTCTTTCTTCGTTTGTGTTTTTCTTTTCCTTTGTCTTGTAGAGCAGGGCCGTGGCGGTTACGGTTTGTTGAGGGAATGGCGGTTGCCACTTGTTGATAGAAGTCAGACGTAGAAGAAAGGCAAGTAAGGTTCATATACTCCTGCCCGCCGAGCCCAACTACATAAAAAGGTTGGACTTTGATTAAGTCCAAAGAAGAAGGTAAAGAAAGCAAACAAAACAAGACCGATAATATATGTATATACAAATATATATTAATAACAAGTTACAATACATGGAAACAGTACAATGGACGAAGTGTGTGTGAATATTCTGTATGTGCGTGCGTGTGTGAATATTCTGTATGTGCGTGCGTGAATATTGTGCTTAGCGTGTTTCCACGCTATCCCTTGTTAGTGACTACATTTCGAGGTTGATAGTTGAAATCCTCTAGGAATAAGAGAAATTTACCTCGAGGTGTTGGTGCACAGGCCTGAAGGAAAAAAGAGATAGAGGCGAAGGGTCATTGGCTATTTATAGCCAGGAAAGAGAGACCCCTGGTGAAAGGGTTAACGGAGTGAAAGGAGGAGTTAACTCCGACAGTCTACACTTTTTTCTTTCTTTCATTCTTTCTTTCATTCTTCGTTTATTTGTTTTCTTTTCTGCATCTATTCATTTACTTTATTTATGAGCTTCATTTTCCTTTGTCTATTCTTTTTCTTTCTTCTTTCCTTCATATGTTTCCTTTTCTTTTGTCCATTCTTTTTCTTTCTTTCTTTCTTTATTTATTTATTTATTTATTTGTTTCCTTTTCCTTTGTCTATTCGTTTACTTTTCTTCGTTCTTTCTTTCTTCGTTTATTTGTTTCCTTTTTCTATTTTTTCTTTATAACCTTCTTTTCTTTCTTTTTTCGTCTATTTGTTTCCTTTTCTTTTATTTATTCTTTTTCTTTCTTTCTTTAATTATTTATTTATTTATTTCTTCATTTATTTATTTATTTTTCCTTTGTCTATTATTTATTTATTTATCTATTCTTTCTTTGCCTACTCTTTCTTTCTTTCTTTCTTTCTTTCTTTCTTTCTTTCTTTCTTTCTTTCCCCAGTTCATTTCTCTTTCTTCCATTTCTCTTTTATTGTTTTTCCTTTCGATTTCTTCGTTTTTGTCCAGTTATTTCTTCCATTCTTCCTGATACCATTGCTTTGCCTCACGAGTAAGGGGGGACATCATGTCTGTAGCTGGACTAAAAATGATGAAAAAAAAAAAAATAAACACTTTATATAACATTGTATACTTCAAATTGTTCAGTCTTGCCATGAGAAATTGGTACTGCAACTTTTAAAGAATTCTTAACCTAAACATTGTATTTCACAAAAAAAAAAAATTGTGCAGAGAATAAATCTGAATCAAATGAAATTAATTATCTTTGTTCGGTGTTTCGGCTTTCGTGATTTGATCTGAAATAATGTAGAGTGCCATTCTTATTACTAAATGTACCGTGTCAAGTCATGTGCGATCTTGACTCCACAACTTCCTATTCTTGCAGCTCTTAACAATGTTTGTCTTTTTACTATAACTCCTCCTCCCTGTTCTGCCATCCATTTACACAAGATCGTTATGTAGGTTACTCGCTATTTCCCTCTGCTCTTTTTGTATTCACTATATCCTATAAGTGTCAAATTTTCCAAGCCTACTTTCCTTACTGTTGTGGATTCCGTGAATGGAATCCTGCACAAATAAATAAACAACGCCAGTAATTGAGATAGAAAAATAAGTGTATTAAAAGTAAGAATACAGACTTGAAGTGAAGATTAGTAGTCCAGGAACGCAGGTTAGTAGAAAGTATATGTACAAGTCTCTGTAAGTAAAGCCGTAATCATCTCTCTCTCTCTCTCTCTCTCTCTCTCTCTCTCTCTCACTCTCTCTCTCCTCTTGTGTAACTCTCTGAGAACACCCTGTGTCTGTCTCCGTATCTCTCAACCTGTCTCAACGTATCTCATCGTATCTCCACGTATCTCAACAGCAGGTATTCTCTGTGTCAGTATAAGTATACTTTGGACGAGTCCATCTAATGTAAAAAGGGGAGAGCCCCACAACACTTACTATGTGTCTTGGAAATTTCAATTTTCACTTTTTGATTCTAAGCATAAGTTTTCTTTTTTTTTTTTTTTTTTTTTTTTTTTTGGTGTTGTTGTTATGGTGTTGGGCGTATTTTTTTTTTCGTTTTTTTTTTTTGTTTTATTATCATTTTATTCCAAGCAAGGCGATACTGGGAATGAAAAGAGAATGAGAAGAATTTAGCAAGGAGAAGTGGGAGAAAAGGACAATAAAAACAGGTTTCAGGAAGACAGAAAATTGTTAGTGACATGAAAGCAAGAAATCGGAAGTGAGTTCCACAGTTGCCAAGTGCGAGAAAAGAAACTATTAGAATAGAACGTACGGTTGCATCTACCTCACGGGTAAGGGAGACAACATGTCTGTCGCGGGACTAACAATGTTGGCAAAAAAAGACTTTATATAACATTCTATATTTCAAATTATCCAGTCTTTTGTGAAATATTGTAAAGCTCTGAGACCTTGTTATCAATTTATTAGAACGCTTAAATTTATGCAGTCGAGACACCAACGTGGAAATCTCATCAGAACAATCGCCATGAAAACATTTGTAGAAAAGACTGAAAGAAGCCATGTTATGTCAGTAACAGAAGTCGAAATACCAAGTTAGGATCGAGTACATTACAAACCCATCTTTTAAGTATTTACTTTATTTCTATTTTCTTTAAAACTTCCTCGTTACTCACGTTCTCTGTCTATGGTATTCGTAGAAGACTTTTATAGAATCATATCTGTGTTGCTTCAAATCTTTTCATATAAAAATTTTGTGCTCATGTAATCCGATACAAGAAAAGAAATCAAAAAGAAAAGAAGAAGAAAATTTTGAATGACATTGTTCTGCTGATATTTAGATAATAATCATCATCAAATATTGATTGGGAATCAGGCACACTTAACAACGGGGAAAGAAGTAGAAAAGGTCTGCGTCATAACCAGAGACACTTCAGACAGTTTTAAAGAACTTAGGCACTAATTTTAACGTTCTTACGCTTTCATCTATATAGCTAAATTCGAGTTTGCGCCGGATTTGGTTCCGTTCAATTTTTTTTTTTTTTTTTTTTTTGTACAGCAAGATTCATCCTGTACGAGGTCCGGGGGCCCACTCGTGGTTGAGGATTACGTTAAGGGGTAGTTTATATGAAAAGGAGGGAAGATAATGGCTAACTCTAGACTTGAGGTTAAGATTGTAATAATCGGGAAAACATCCTCTTGAGAATCTGTTCCATAGTGGTTCGCGGGAAAAAGTTGTTTGAGTGGAATACGGGGGCAACGTGTGTGGTTTGATACTATGTAAGTGGCATAGCGGGTCCTAGCCGTGAAGGTTAGATTTAGCGGAACCAAGGAATGTAGTTCGTCCGAGCACTTTCTATGAACGTAACGATAGAGCAGTGGGAGACTCACCACACCCAGCCTGTGAGGGAGAGAGAGGTTGGATAGTGGAAAATTGTCCTTCTCCAACAAAGAGTCGGAGACGCTTTTGAACTCTATCAAAACTGAAGAGGGAAGACGGGCAGCTCTCGTCCAAATATGGCAATGATACTCCATTTTCGGCCTGATCTGGTTTTTATAAAGGTAGAGGATAGCGTGAGGAATCAAGTACTTACATATATAGAGGAAAAGTTGAAGAACCATTATCGCTAGGAGGCCAGCTTTAAATTTCAGCTTCAAGCTTAAACATTCATGAGATAAATATCAACTATAATAATATTAGTGTTTAAATTGTCACTATCATAAAATATTTCCCTCACTTCTAATTATTGGGTATGATTTTAAATATTTTTGCACGTTTTAAAAACCACAACTATGGAATATAAAGTCAGATAAAATTAGCAGAATGCTTGACATTTTTTTTCTTGGGGAAATCGAAATATCACAAAATCTACATAGTAGACTGTTGTAACCTAAAGAAGGTTACTGAATAGAATAATCAAACGAATGTTGGTAATGAACGATAATACTTAGGACAAGAACAACACATATAAGATTCGCCAGCGGCGCGTAGTAGTAGTCAACTACTAGAAGAGAGTCAAGTGAATTCCACAATGAATCACCAACTGTGAGATATCTACCAACCGACCCACACGGTCAAATGTGGTACAAGGCCGAATTTAATGTGGGATATCCGAGCCCGTAGGCTCGGCCAAAAATTCCCCGTAGATATCGTATAAAACGGGGTCGGGTAGCTGTTTCCCCGAGACGAGACTCCGCCCTTCGACATAGCCTCATCTGGGGATCCTCTCTGCCCGGAGGCAGAGAGTTTGACCAGCACAGCTGGAGACGAATCTCGAACATACACTATTTACTACAGAAGGTAGTGACGGAAAGCGATAAGAAAGGATTAAACATCAACTGCAAGAAGCCAAAATGCATGGTTGCTAGCAAAAGGATGTGCCCAAACTGCGAACTCCAAAGTGGAGGTACCAAAATCAAACAAGAGAATAATTTTTAATATCTGGGAAGTGTTTTAACAGAGAACGGAAAGAGCGACACTGAGATCCGAAGGCGTATTGGGATAACCAATGAAGCATTCCAAAAGCTAAGCAGAGTAATAAGAAATAGGAAAATTTCTCTAGAAACAAGGAAAAAATATTAAAGTACTATGTGATATCTATCCTCCTGTATGGCAGTGAGTGCTGGACGATCCCCTCAAAGATGAAGAGGAGACTTGAAACAACAGAAATGCGGTTCTACAGAAGGATGCTGAGGATACTGTGGACCGAACATGTGAGTAACGACGAAGTTTTGGAGAAAATGGAAACAATTAATTAACAACAGGAACAGACAGTTGAGGTTTCAATAGCATATAATGAGGAAGGAGTGTTTGGAAAATCTGATACTCACGAGATAGGGGGCACATAAAGAAGAAGAATTGGGTGTACAAATCAAGAAGAATTAATTTAAAAGACATAATGTTTGATTTACCTTCTTTCTCCGAATAGAAAGGCGCGCCTTCACACGGCGTAACTCAGCAACATTCTGCTTAGCATTTGTAAATATTGTTACAGATAGATGCCATCTGTATTTGTTGATCTCTTTCCTAATGTACATATATGGCAGATTGAGATTAAGGATTCAAAAATCGATCTATAGAAATGCGCGGGGAAAAGGGACTTAACTGATATTTACTTTTGTCAACTTTTGTAGCTTTATGTGTCTGTGTTGCAGCATACCTAAGGACGATAATGGATATCACTTTGCATTCTCTGATACATTGTCATTATTTTTTCTTTTTTTGCCAAGTAAAGGGTTATTGTTATGATACGAAATGAGATTTTTCTTTTACTTGATTATTTTTTTATGATAAACATTTCTTTATTTGGAACTTAAAGTTGAAAATAAACCCATGTTCCAATTTTGGTTATCATGTCTTTAAACATTTTCCATTTTGAAGCGTGTATCGTAGCATTTAATCTTCCTATACGGATGTTCAACCTGTGTCTTCAGTTTAATGTTACAACGCTTGAAAAAGGTGCACAGAAAAAGGAGTTGCCATCCATAAAAGATCTGAGCTGGAGAAATGGAACAATGTTTATTTTCAGCGATGAAAACAAATGACAATTGGATCGAGTTTTCTGTACTTAAAATTTAAGGATTAAGTTGTTTAAAAAATGACGTAATTTTGTTTTCTGTCTCTCTTTTTATTCTTCTGTTACACGAGTTGCTTTTTTTTATAAACATCGTTTTATTTTAGTATTTTCTATTTAAAAAGAAGGAATTTCATTTACAACAGAAACCTATGCACTATTTGAAATGTTGTTCACCATAATAACTGAGCAAAATTGAAAAGAACCTAAATATTTAATATCAATCAAATTATTTCTCCTTGATTTCATTTCGTTGTCAAATCAGTAAAGAAGACGTTTATATTAGTTGTACTCGTAAAATATGTGATGCAAGTTCAACTGTCGTCGGAGGCTACTTCCAATTCACGCTACTTAATTTAATGGTCGCATAATGTAACAACCTGAGCGTTGGGAATGAGTCAGAATAATCTGAAAAAAAAAAAACAAGTCTAAATTAATCATAAACAATCATCTAAGAATTCAGATTTTTTACAGTTTGTTTCATTTGTATGTTTCTTTATGATCGAGATAATTGCATGTTTCCAACTTGCGCTAGTCATCTCTATTTTCATTCGGGAAAACAGCAAGAATATTGAATACTGGTTTGAAAGTTCACTACAGCACAATCGTCCTAAACCTAATTTTCTCCATATGACAGTGTCAGACTAAGTTAAGCAACGATTTACTCTTTGGCAGTCTATCAAGGTAGAGAAAATGAATTAATTGAACGCCTTTCCAATAAGCCTGACTGCATATTGTTTCACTAATGAAGTGATTAAGATATCTAAAAATGCCGGATGAATAGGCAAACTTTCTAAATCTGAGGATGTCCAGTTTCCACAATTCAAAAAATTAGGCACATATTACAAATGCAACCGAAAACAGATTATGGAAGACCAAAAGTAACAACAAGTCGAGATGAAAAAAATGAAAATGTTTGTTCATCGGATAAATATATCAGTGTGCTGGAAAGTTCTCTGCTGGGTCATGTAGGGATTGAACAAAATTTGATTTTTGTTCATTTGGTCAGATTATTTTGCGAAGTGGGTCCAGCTGAAATTTTAAAGCAATCATTCATATATATATACATATATATATATATATATATATATATATATATATATATAGATAGATAGATAGATAGATAGATAGATAGATAGAGAGAGAGAGAGAGAGAGAGAGAGAGAATGCAAGTTTTCTCTGTTAATATTTCTCGAGAACGCAGAACGATAGGCGTAAAATACACTGTTTGAAATAAAGAACGAAGCGTCTATTTCAAACACGGGTATCCACTAATTATAAGGTTTGAAGTAATATATATATATATGTGTGTGTGTAAAATGACAACGAATATAACCCAATTCCGACGTTCGTAACATTCAATTTAAAAGAGGGCTCAATACAAAGATAGACGAATATTCTATTTTGGGATAATACATCAAAAACATGTAAAAACGTTACACAAATGCAATCATGTTTCAATGTGTATTAACACATCTCATCAGATGTTAGTAAATAACCGGTGAGTAGATAAATTATTGAGATTTAAAACAACATAAACCCTCTTTACACGAGAAAAGGGTGAAAAGAAAAAGAGTAAGAAAGAAAAGAGAGGAGATAGCAGGGTTTGTTTTGTTTTTATTCAGATCAACCAATCGGAATGGCCTATGCTTAGTTTAAAGTAAAGGGAAAAACGAAAGAAGCAATCATACGTAAGAGGTTATGACCCACAAATTTAGAATCGTAGACGACATCTAAACGTCATATTCGGCATGTAAATTGGCTACAATATTATACAAATGTCATTTCCTATGAGAGAAGAACGTAATTTAACAAGATTCTCTGCAAATAACATACGCCGGTGTTGCTGCAAACAGAATCAGAAGAATAAGTTTTCTGTTTTCTTTACTTCTGTTCATTATAGCACCTTTTATTATTACCCTACAAATTTTCATCTACAGCTTTCTTTATTTCTTTCTTTCTTTCTTTCTTTACATATCCGCTTCAATATATCTCACTTTTTCACATTCCTACTTCCTTTCCTTCTTTCTTTCCTTCTCTCTCTATTTCTTTCTTTCTATCCGCTTCAATATAATTCGTGTTCTTTCTTTCTTTCTTTCTTTCTTTCGTTTCAATGTTTGTATCCGTCTTTATGAGTGTGGGAGTTCCATTTAAAATGTAAATATAAGGGGAAATAGGATCCTGACTTTGAGTCTGTCTTTATAAGAACAGGTGTTCCATTTACAATATAAATACAGGACCCTGATATATATATATATATATATATATATATATATATATATATATAAGTGATTATTTTGGGGATTTTAGGCTAATCATATAGTAATTCGTCGAGCTTAGAATAATCCTCAACAGAATGCAGAAAGCACTGGATAGCCGTTTCGTCCTATCTGGGACTTATCAACAGTGCGCATCCACTACCGAGAACCGAACCCGGACCGTTTCGATCCAACGCAAACGTCATACCAACTGTACTCAGTGACGAAGACGGCACAAACTAGACTCGATATAGCGCCGCTACTTACTCAGTTCCGCAGCGATACTCATCCAAGTCTTCAGATAACCTCGGAACAGTGCCCCAAGAGCCACGACTGCTTTTTGACCCTTAGCCGCAAAGTATTAGTTCTTATATATATATATATATATATATATATATATATATATATATATTTAAAGAGGTAAAACACCGTATACTTCCGCACACTATGGTGGTTTCGAACGCTAGGTCTCATCAGGTGGCTGGGTAAACAATATTTCTCAAACCACACCACACTACTATTCTTATACTATAGCACTGGAAGTCAGAAAGGCGAGGAGGTGTGAGCGAAGAGAGAGAAAAAAATTATTTCTTTCATTGTGCTCTGCATGTCTCTTTTTCTAGGCTGCTGCATTGAACATTTTTTATACGTCCGTTTTTTTAGTACGGTAATTTTTCCGGCCATTTAACATATTTTGTGTTCTACCTTGCTCTCGCTTAGCGGTCGAGCACTCTTTTACGGTGTTCATATTGCACTCCAATTTCTATTTTACTTGGCATTTGGCAATAATTTTACAACACAACACTACACTGGCTCTTACAATTATGCAAGTATTTAAGATCCAGCACTCATTAAAAAATATCCCTATAGCTGGCAAGTATGACTATATATTCACACTTCTAAACAAGATAGAGACCTTCCTCGCCAGAATGAGATGGAAGGCTTTGTTTGCTTTGCATAAATTTGCAAACAGCAACGAAGACACGGAAATACCACTATTTTAAACCGGGAAATATCCACCTCCTGTCGGCATTTGAAAAGGATCTGATAAGTATCTTGGAGATCATAAAGTTCAGAAAAAATATCTTCTAAACAAAATTATAAAGAAAACAAGAAAATTTTTGGTAATGGAAGACAAGACAAGAAAATTGTATCCTGAGCCCAAAAGCTCAGGATACAAAAGAAAAAGATATCTGATGATGTTACCAAATACTATAGAAAAGCCTTCACTTCGTATGTTAAAAAAATAACTCACAAGGAAGCTAGGGACATCACTGCCAAAATGGGTATCAGTGATAAAATCCAGACAATATGCAAAATTATTAGATACTGAGTTAATTTTTTTCAAGTTTCATGAATACAAGTAGTTCAAACTACAGTAAAATTGCATTATAACTATAGAAATGACTTAAATAAACAAAAACAGATCTGAAGATTTCACTGTGACAGAAATCTTCTTTTATAAAACTTTCTAATGGCAGGTTTCTTTTCAAGTACCAGCAGTAATCAGCCATTATGTGCGAATGTCAACGGCCTTGGTATCGTTCCTCCATAATTTTGATACGTTGGTGGAATCTCTCCCCTTGTTCGTCACATACATCGCCTAAATTACTTGGAAATTGGTCAAGTTGGCTATTCAAAAAAGCATTGCAACCTATCTCCTTGTAGTCTCTAACATGTTTTTTCTTCGTAGTCATCTGCTCTATAATTGCCTAAAACGTTTTCTGTCAAGTCCACGAATGAGAACCAGGCATTTTTTTGCGATCATTCATGACATTAGGAAAACTGCTGTTAATGTCCTTATTTGTGGAACGTCGAAAATTATCGCCTTGTTTTAAACAGGAACATAATATAAAATAGGTATTTACAATCTATGAAATTAAACTAGAAACACGGATGAGTAGGTACAATATAAATTACGTCTAATTAAATCAACTATTAAGTAACGATGACAAAATTACTTACTAAATCATATGGCAATTCAAAATTATGTTAATACCAAAACTGATTGATTGAATTGGCTGATTAACTCCAGAAACGTTTAGCCTCATAGTGACATTGTAAATGGAACTTCCGCTCTCATAAAAACGGGCACAAAGTCAGGGTTCTGTTTTGCCTTATATTTATATAGTAAATGGAACATCCGCTCTCATAAAACAGAGCTAAAGTCAGGGTCTTAGTTTGCTTCGTATTTACAGTGTAAATTTTCGCTTTCATAAAGACGGACACAAAATCAAGGTCCTGCTATGCCTTATACTTACATTGTAAATGAAACTTCCGCCCTCATAAAGACGGACACAAAGTCAGGGTAATGCATTATCTTATATTTACATTGGAAGTTGAACCTCCACAGTCATAAAAACGGACACAAAGTCATGGAAGTAAGTTCTATCTGAAAAACTTGACGTGCCTTTAAGTAATCAAAAATTGAAATTTAAAAAATTGAACTATTTCGACTTTCACATTTCTTTTCTTAGCACTTTCACGTGATTCACTTCGGCTTCACATGTCTGTTTTTTTCTCTTTCCTCTTTGCTTTTCATTCTCTTATTCTTTATACCATACAACATTATGATCTTATTTTTTTCTCTTTTCTTAACACCATCACATTTCTCTTTTCATTCTCTGCTCTCGATTTCTCTCTGCGTTCTGTCTTTTCCACTAACGATTTTCAATTTATTGTATAATTATTGATTATCGAGAAAAATCCTATTAACACATTTGGCAATCGATCTTTCTTGATCATACTGAACAAGCGGCAAATAAAACCAACGGCATTCGTCGTTGCAATCTTTTATTAACGGTTCCAAGGAACTACTATTTCTGTTATCAATCTCCTAAAACCATTTCTCCAAACCGGATCTATCGCTTTCTGCCTGTCTAGGGAAAAGGCGAATTCAATTTAGTTTTCCTAACGAAGCTAAATTACAACCATAACTTAACCATTTTCCCAATTAACTACGACAACAATAAAACGATTACGTCTATTCCGAACGCAAAACAATAAGATATATCTGCGCTTAAAATGCCATATTTATTAATATCATGCAAAATTGATCACAAGTACGCTCGCTAACATATTTGTTTAATGATTTTGATTGATGCGTTATAAGATTTTGAACAGATCTGAAATAATTCCATTATCAAATGGTTAACATTTATAAATGTGAAGCGTATGTAGCCATTCTGTTTCTGACCATTACAATGAAATCATTTTCCTTGTTTCCATTCTAAGCACTGATCCTTGTCGCTTAAACAAACAATAAATATAAATCATAAACATTTCTCTCAACATACACCCGGTGACCCACTCGCAGACTTTCGCCGACAGAAAAAATCACTCCACGTTATGTCTCGTATTCTCGTTTGTGTCGGTGGGCACAACAAAAAGCTGGGAAAGGTTCATTGCACATTCACAAGATGAGATTAACGTCACACGAATCCTGTTTTCAATAATTTAACCATTTATGCACTGGCCTAGATTCTTGTCAGACCTAACACTCTGTCTGGGGTTATGTGGGTGGCACTTAAGTCCCGTCCTCTCTTCTTACTTCCGCCAAGAGACTGCTACCGACGTGACTTGGACGGACGACTCCTCTCTCTCCGCCCACTCTAATCGGGACTTTGCTGTGAGCGGAAGTCTCTAGCTTTGGGCCAGTTGACATTTGTTATGGAAAGTTTTCAATTATTTGTTTTATTTTACCCACTCTCTTTTTGTTAATGGACGGCTGATTTGACGACCATACTTCGTAGATTTTACTGCATGTCATAAAAAGAAAAAAACACTAGATACTTCAAACTCAGATAAAATAATTAGGATTCACTTGACTTCGTGTGTTTTCTAAGTCAATCGTGTGGGGGTCATATTGTGTCATATTCATCACCTCCTGTTGAATCATTACTTTCTATAATACATTAATATAAAGATGTTTATCTTATCAAACGTAGACTAAATTCCCTTTTATTTTCTTCTGTGTCTTCTTTTTATGGTTGTCAGTCAGTGAGGTGTCATGCGTGATACACGCTTAGGCGATCATGTATCTTTCGATACATGACTGACAAGGCAGTTTTTTTCCTGCAGTAGGTTGCCATTTATTTCTGCGGTATATCAGTTGCTATAGAACCCGGTTTGTCCTCCTATTTACCCATAGCTGGGAAGAGGGGAGAAGAAGAGGATTCATACCTTTCCCAAGGATATTAGCACGTAAGTGAATGTAATAGATTCGGCTGGATTCCTCCATACGAGCCACTATCCATTACTCCACTGTGCCTCTTTTTATGGTTGTAGAGTGCGAAAATCAGAACGAAAGCCTAGCCAACCGTTCATAAGCGTATCGACTCAATTATACCGGTATGACTTATTACAAAATCAACTAATTTGCCACGAGAGTACACTTTACAACTTTTCGAGATGTCAGTCAGTGTTCACCCATCTATTGGCACACCCATCTAAATAACATTTTGACCATAATATGCCTTTCCAGCCGTCTGACTATGATCTCGTGTTCAGGCGAAATTAAGTATTGTTCTATCCTTAGAGATTTAATCTCCGCGACAGTATCCCCCCCACCGCCAATGAACTAAAAGCGGAAAACCGTAAGTCACCTTGGCGTCTTTACGATGCAGACTAAAGAGACGAGGCAATACTTTTCTCTGCCACACATGCGCATATATATATATGTGTCTGGCCCTACATTAAACTCAATTTTGTATCATATTTTCCTCGTAGAGAAGCAAATAAATACTATCTTATAATAGAAATAATATTCACACCTCTTTGCAAAATCTCTTCCAAGTGTACAACAATCCGTAATGATGTGCTACACAAACATGACTGCTAAAACGACTGATGTCTTGCATTTCCCAACTTTCTTGGACTCTAACACAATCAATGTAGCGTTTTACATTTTTAACATCCGTCTTCCAAAGAGCTTGTTTTGTTAATCTTAGAATTAATACCTATTTTTATTGGACCTTACCTGGATGTACTAATGACGTATGTTAACCATTGAATGATAGTTTCCGGTAATCCGTTTTGTCAGTCCTGCAAACTGTCTTGTATTGTGTAGCCAGCAAATATTGACTCATATTAAAGGGACAAAAATGAACAAATATAGATAATCGCAGAGAAACCATTACCTAGCTAATTTTTCAGTAGTTAATATACATTATGCAGTAAAATCCTAGTCAGAAATAGTAAATAAATGAAGTAACCACTTTTCACCATACGTTTGGTCTACCTATATAGCAGCTAATGCTGGACACTCTCCTCGCAGATGGAAAAAAAAAGACTTGAAGCAACAAAAATGTGGTTCTACAGAAGGATGCTGAAAATGCCATGGACCGAACGACGAAGATTTAGAGAAAATGGATACAAAAAGGATACTTATACTTAACATCAGGAAGAGATAGTTGAAAAAAATCTAAGGCACATAATAGGGAAAGATGGCTTGGCAAATTTGATACTCACGGGACAGATTAAAGGCAAGAAGAACCGAGGAAAACAACGTATAACCTACCTAGAGAGCTTGAGTAAATGGATGGTGGAACAAGGTTTAGGAGAGATAACAAAAGACAAACGATATAGAAAAGACAGGAAATAGTGGAGAGTATGATCACCAACATCCTAAGGGGACACGGCAAGTAGAAGAAGAAGAATCCATGTCAAATAGTGATGACGTTTTCATAATCATTCGTATATAAAATTCTGTTAATATACATGTGCTACTCCTAAAATAATGTCTTATATCTTATTACTCTAATCTTCACTCTGCTGTAATTTGGCTTCTTTCCCCGATAATAATCATAATATGGAATGATGTCACAAGCTATTACTCCTAATTAATCAATCTTTGAAAGATCAAGTCAAACCACAACGTTATTAAGAGATTGGTTGTTTGAAGAATGCTCATAAGCTTTCGTTTGAAGTTAGTAATGCTTTAATCAAACAAATTCAGATTAACGGCTTACTGCTTAGCTATCGCGACTTCAATCTCTTTATAGGTTTCATAACTGTGTTAAGAATGTTAAGAAGGAGAGTTATAAAGGATTGTTCCCATACTTTGTTAATATTGGAAATAGTATACACCGCAGTCCATTGCTTGGGAAAGATGATATCATAATGTATTGATTAATTTGTCACTATATTATTATTATTATTATCATTTTCTTTGATTTCTGGCGTTTACACATTTCTTTCCGGGTCCCGCCCAGGGACCTAAGGTTAGAAATGGCGTCATGACATTTTCCACTGACAAAAAAAAAAAAAAAAAAACTTAAATTACATAGATAAAGCCCTTCGTAAGGTGTGTGCTTGTACTTGTCAGAACAATTTTTTGTATCTCCTTGAGGCATGGACTTCCAGGAATCCCTTCAATTAGTCTACTGCATTCTTTTCCAACCAGTCCTAGGGCTCCAACTACAACAGGGATTATTGATGTTCCCATATGCCACATTTTCGAGATTTCTATTTCAAGGTCCTTGTACTTTGACAACGTTTTGAATATCTTCAAAGATACATTGCAGTCAGCAGGGACTGCCATATCAATAAGGAGGCACCGTTTTTGTTTGTGGTCTTTAATAACAATATCTGGCCGGTTGGCCTTGATTGTTCTGTCAGTGTGTATTGTGTAATCCCATAGAATTGTAACAGGTCCTATCTCCGTAACCGGGTCTGGGTGGTGTTCATACCAGTTTCTTTCAGTTTTCTTCCCGTAGAAGTTGCAGATTTTCCAGTGCAGATATTGGCCCACTCTGTCATGTCGGGTTTTATATTCGGTGGGTGCCAACACCGTACAACCTGATACAAGATGATCAATCGTTTCTGGATATTTATCACAGAATCTGCATTTTGGGCTGACACATTATTATTATTGTCATTATTATTATTATTATTATTATTATTATTGGTGTTAATGATGGTGGTGCAACTGTAAACCCCTAAGAATCAAAAGATTAATTTAGAATGCAAAACATTTCTTTGGACATTCACAGCCAAAAATTCTATTGAAATGTTTGGATCAAATTCTGTCCACTTTCAGTAAACGATTAAAAACAAAAACCTTTAATTTATTTTTACCAACTGTTTGGATTTGGTAAGCATATTTTCCATGAGCTGCAGAGAGAAACAAGTTTGAAGGTCTGCAGAGATTTTTGAGATTCAGTCAGTTATGTGATACACGCTTAGGCGATCATGTATCTTTCGATACATGACTGACGAGGCAGATTCTATTACCAAAGAAAGGCGACCTGAGAATCGCTAAGAAATACAGAATTATAACTCTCACAGCTATAGCTGCCAATATCTATAGCACCTCAAACGACCGAAAGGTGATATCATAATGTACGTTTGGTCTACTTATATAGTAGTTAAAAGAGAAATTCTACAAAAAATTTAAGTTAAAAGAGAGATTCTACAAAAAAATCGGCATCGCTAAAATCGACCTATTGTTGCTCAAATCCTGTGTCAGAAGAATCCTTAACTGATTGCAAGCAAAGAGCCTGGGTACCGTTATCTTGTTTGTGGATTTTTCAAGAGCTTATGACTCGATACAGAGGATAAAAATGGAGCAGATTATACTTGCTAGTGAGATTCGAAATGAGACTATTAATGCCATAATGGTGTTGCACAAAAATACAATATCAAATGTCTGATCCCCTGATGGAGACTCGAGATACTTTGGCACTTGACACCAAATTCTGAAGACCTACCAAGTACGATTGGTAATTGTGAAGACTGGAGAGAAAGACTCGTGAGGATCCATGCAATTGGCACATGATGGCGACGATGATGATGATGATGACGATGATGATCTATAAATGACGATGCTGATGAGCTATAAATATTTTGTCGAAAGGTTTTTGAGATGATTTAGCAGTGGATTGATTCAATATCTAGATTTATACAGTTTTAGTTTATGTATTTATAAGTTCTTTTGCTAATGATATGAAGAAGCTTAAAGGTTTTCACAAAGATTCTGATAAGGTTTCGAGGATTTTAAGTCAAAAACGGCCTATTAAGGGGAGACAGGCTGCCCCCTTAACGAAAGCTGTAACATGAGGGGAGGTGGAAAAATCAGGCGTGGAGAAAAAATGGAGATCACCGCCCTCTGTGGGATCAGGTTGAGATCATAGACAAAGAACACCATTGGAAAATTCGTAAACTTAAGGAATCAGCACATATCCTAGACCACAAAAATCTCCTGAGCCGACCAAGCATAGAAATCAATACAATATGAGAACCAGTAATAAAGAGTGCCAGAGAAAAGCGATAATAAGAACAAAAATTGCAATATGAACTCTGGTAAAAACGTGAAATGACAACAGTAAAAAAATTGCAATATGAGCACTGGTAAAAAAAATAATGCTGAAGACATTAGGTTTATAATACTCAGAAATTCATATACAGATGTCCTCAAGGACACATGGCACAGTAGATAAAGGCGTTAGTTAGATCCAGTGACAGGACCCAAAAGAGTGTGAGTTCAATACCTGGTTAAGGCTATGGACAATTTGGAGAGGGGAATTAACAGGAGATAACTGATAACTGATATCCATTAGACATGACGTGGAACTAGAACGGTCTACCCCAGCGAGCGAAATAAAGGGTTCAGTTCG